GCTTTAGTTCATTTTCACAGAAAAGCGTAATGCCTCACAGAAAAGCAAACTTAGGGCGTTGTACTCGTAGCGCCATCTGTTGGACGTAAAAGCCTTAACCTAGATTATATCTTTTAATTTATATGAATGTTTAACAGAATAATATACAGCCTATGTCCACCCTAAAGTTCCATTCTAAATATTGATGCAAGAATTTTTGAAATCGGATGAGTAGTTTCGGAGATTATCTGCTGCAAAGAAACTTTTACATACATACATACATACATACATACATACATACATACATACATACATACATACATACAAACATTACGTCTTTATATATTAGTATAGATAGATACATAAATGTGTACAGTTGTGGTTTTGCTTGTACACTAGGTAATGTTGTCAGAATGCATTAAAATTACTACCCCACTATCATTTAGAGAGGCTGAAAGAGACTTACTGTATCTACACATGTTCATTTGTATATAATTTTAAATACTTAAAAGATAAAATATAGATACTTTTAAATTGCTTGCAAGGAAGCCAAATTCTGTTAGTCTTCTTAATTTGGAACATTTTTGACCCTCTTTAGATCAGCTTCAGCCAATAACAGTTGTAAACTTCTAAGGAGTGAATAAAAACATTTGTTCTTTGTTAAGAACATAAATTTAAAACGCATGAGCATATTTTGAAATGTTATCACTAAAATGTGTGAAATACTTACTATTTTCTGTGCATTGGATGTGATGTGATGTCATGCTTTTTCTTTTGTCTATTTCTCAAAAACTTTGGGTCATAGAGGTATGGTTCTTGGGTCATTTTTATGTACTCTAAGTGCAGATTCTCAGTCTATGCAATCTTGATGGGACATCCTGTATATAAATATAACAAATTATAAAGTTACATTTTAAACACTTTTGTAAATGGTCAAGATTGTTCAAAACCAGTATTCTGAATAGACTAATAGAAAAAAGATCTCAAAGAAATGGCCAGCCTTTAGGATGGGGTAAAAAACAAGTTTGAATACAAGTAATGTGTAGTGGAACTCTAAGGTACAACCATTCAGAACAAATGGAACCATGGAAATATTTATATAAAAGTGAATGATTTAAGTATTTTGACATAATCAGAAAAACTGTGAATTTCCAATCTGGACCTAGCAACATTAGCATTAGGGGTAAAAGGAAGGTTACAGAATTTATTTAAAATAAAATAATTAGTTTAAACATTTCTTAAAATGTTTCCTAAATGAGAAGAGGCAGCCATAGCTGATATTCAATTCAATTCATTTACGGAGACATAACCATAGCTGATACTGCAGATGACAATCAAGTGAAGATTGAATATTGGCAAAATAAATGGATTCTAATACTGTTTTAGATGAGGTGGTTTTGCAAAAGTGCCAAAGAATTTAGTGACAAATAGCAAGGGATTTAATGATTTTATCAACATCCTTTAAATGTAAGCTACTTACAGGACAGGCAACTTTAAGCAATACTTGCATAGATTTAAACTTGGGGACAATCCACAATGTGATTGTGGTATTCAGGAGGACCAAACACCACATCACTTAGTTTTTTGCTGCAATAGGTACAATCACATTAGGAATAGTTTTAATGAGAGCTGTTATTCTTGAAGGGTACAACTGGCCTTGCAACCGGTGCCAATTCATTCACATGCATACAGTGTTCCATCTACTCACATTTATATCCCTTAGAGGGGCTCTTGAGAGCACTCACTCCAAGGGTATGGATGGCAATTAGCTTTTCCTTTGCTTTGTTTGAATTGTCAGGATATAACTGCCTTTTAACTTTGTATTTTAAATTTTTTTTTCTGTCTTCTCTTTCAGTCTAAATTCAGTTAATCTTAATTGTAAGTTAGATTAGGGACTCTTGGTTTCCAATTAGGATATGATAGGTTAGGTTAAATTTGATTAAGGTTTGTTAGCTTTAGTCCTCTGATTAGGTTTGTCCTAGGTTATGGTAGGTTAGTAAGTTAATGTTTAAAAAATAATAATAAAACCAAAAAAATAAATAAATAATTAAAATATTGGGGTCTTGCCCGTTTGCCATTGTGTTTGTTTCCTTTTTGCACTGTCTGTCTAGCTCTTAAGTAGTATTAATATTCACAATCACATTCAGTTTTATCAGTATTAAGTAGATATAAGTCTTCCTACTAACAGCCATTTGGCACTAACTTCTACACTTAGCTATTTGTGACAGCACTCAATTATTGGTGTTTGCTACACTCAGGTTTACTTTTAGACCCTTTGGGGGACTGCATGTCAACATCAAACAGAGGGTACTGTAGCCATATGTATGCTGTTCAGAGGGATTCTACCTTTCTCTACTGTCAATCTCCTCTCCCTCCTTCCCCTCTTTTCTGTTGGCTAAACACTTCATGTATGTATGTATGTATGTATGTATGTATGTATGTATACAAATAATTACAAATGCAAGTGAGACTCAAATAACACTTTAGTTTGACCCACATTGGTCTTCTCTATCTAAATACAACTGTTGGACTGGTCATTTCTGCTCACTCCCAATTTTGGTCTTTTGGTTCCTCCAAAAGTATTAAATACAGAGAACACAACATTTAAATTTATGACTTATTTACCCACTCAATAAATAAACTCCCATAAATGCCATTTATGCTTAACTATGCATAAATATTCATTTTCTCTGGCATAAGTAGAAAATTAGCAAAAATTTACACACCTTATTAAATATTTCAATAAAATTATAAATGACTTTGTCAGAAGGTCTTGGGATCACAAGCAGTTTATCCCAAAATTTGCTAAATCTAATCAACATAAACATTATGATTCTTGATGACAAAGTGTTTATATGCATCAAACAAGTAAAATCACAATTCTTTAATATATTACTTGAAGCCCCTTATAAGCTGTTTCTCCCTAGCCTCATGAACTCAAATCAGCTGGAGTTTATTTTTCCAGTCATTATTTTCTTTAACAGTTTGTGAAGCCATAATAATTATCAGCAAAAACTTTTAGACCTGACCTAATTCCTTCTATTTTTTTATTAGAAAAACAATGGAAAGAATTAGGTCAAGTCTTAGGAACCTGTTTTTGCCCCTATTTTTATTCATCTTTTTTCCTCTATTCTACAGCATGATTTTATACTTACACAATGGACAACATCTGTCATCTCTATTATACCAAAAAAGGATCCCAATCTTATTAACTTCTGTAATGCTAAAGATTTTTGAAGAGAGGTTTTTGTATTGATTGATAAATACAATTACCACATGGATTACCAGTGCCTGACTGACATCCCAGCATTCCCCATTGCTCTAGAACTAGTAATCTTCTTGAAATACTGCTTTGAATTAAAGCTTCCCACTTTTGTTGTGTACCTAGACATAGACAAGACTTTTGAAAAATTATCATCAAAATACCAAATTAATAATATAGTATTATCATGAATCAACAATTTTTTCATTTTACATGCCTAGAAATTAAAAGTGTCTGATTTTTACTTTCAAGAATCTCACATCTACTAGGCATACCTCAGAGATCTATCCTTAGTAAACTGTCATTCATAAACATCTATCTATCTTGATATCGTCAGTGTAACTCATGTCAAACCACATTAAAAGAATCATATTGTAATGTATTTGCATCATGTAATTGAGTGATTTAAGAGTTTAAGACTCGTGTAAATAAATTGTTTTTTTTTATTTCATTTATAAATGATTCTTTTAAACTCTTAAACTACTCAATAAACTAGAAAATCTAAAGCCATGATTAACAGCCTTGTTAGAACATCTTTTAATTCTAATTTAGAATTAATTAACCTGAGCATACAACTTTTCAAGATCTAGGAATAATTTTGCCCAAAACTTACTTTTGGCTTACACATTGATAATTTAATTTAAAAAATAGCTATTCAACATGGAATGATATGGTGCCAATATTTACACTATGCACAATATTTTTTGCAAACATTCAATTAATCTGTGAGGAAAACGATTATTTTTTGAATTTTCTTAGTGGATCAGTGATGGAGATGCATTCTAGGAGAGCTGTTTGTCAATTTGTATGGAACCCAAACATCAAGCTTACTAATATATCCATATTGATGCATTCACACTTTACTTTGATATTTGGTGAATACCAACAATCTCCCGTGTTCTGTAGTGTGGATTGTAGCTTTGTCAGTGTAATCTTCTTGTGGCTGGCATACACATTCTTTCAAGGCCTCTCACCATACACCACACACACCTTTTTACACTGATGCTTTATTTTAAAAAAGGCAAAAAGAATGTCAAAAATACTCATTTTGCTTATACATCTTTCATCAAGATTAGTTGTTTTTTTTTTTGGCATTTCAACATTCATTTAGACCAGTGGTTCCCAATTAGTGGTACGCGTACCTCTGGGGGTATGCGAAATTTTAATGAAGGGGTACACGCGGGAATCTAAAATTGGTCGATTTAAAATTTAAATGCATCAGATGAAGCAATTAAAAAAATAATGGGGATGGGGGACCATCAAAAATTCGGCAATTTACAACACGATGTGGAATGCACAAATTCGTTTATTTATAACTAAAAATATTCTCGAAATTTCATTTAAAAAATTGCATTTGTGACAATACCTAAATTCTTACGCAAGAAACAAAAATTGTACAATTATCATTATCATCATGTCAGTGAAACAGCAATAAAATATTTACTACCATTTTGCGCAACATACATCTGCGAGAGCGGATTTTCGGCCATGACAAACATGAAGACTAAACATCATCAGTGACGATGTTTAGTTTTCATGTGTGTTAAATTATTGTCGATTCCTATGGAAATTTCATTTTAATGAACAATAATTTGAAATAATTCAATTTTGTGTCAGGCTGGCCTCTACTAGGCCCCCATAACAAAACTCTGGCTACACCAATGATCGTCACCGACTTCGACTCGAAGATGACTCGAGACCAAAGCTGACCAAAAAGCAACCAGATTTTACAAAGTTGTGCAAAGAAAATTGTGCACATTTGTCGCATTAAAAGTAAATAACTTTGTTATGTTCATTATTATTAGAATTGTATTTTAAAGGTAATAAATGTAAAAAAACTTATTCTATTTATCACTTGCTGTCTACCCACAGCTTCGCCCACATTATATCGAATTTTCACGTGGGAGTAAGATATTTTCTCATAGTAAAATGTAGCCTATGTCCATATTCAACGTGTAAGCTATTTCTGCGCCAAATTTTATTAAAACCTGTTCGGCGGTTTAGACGTGAAAAGGTAACAGACAGACAGCAGACAGAATTACCTTCAAATTTATAATATTAGTATGGAATAATATGAATTTCTGCTATAAGGGGTATGCGAGTTTGAGCTCTTTCTTGAAGTGGTATGCAGGAAAAATTAATTGGGAACCACTGATTTAGACTTTCAAAATTTAAACTGAAGTTTGTTGCTTTTCAAAATTTTTATTGCCATCAATCAATTTTTCATAACTATAATTTATGATTGTTTTTTCTTTCAAAATTTTCTAAATTTTAACTTTTTATTTATTTAGGTTTGGGGTTTAGGACGAGATGATAAAGTAATATACTTTCGGACTGGCATAACACAATCAGAATTAAGTGGAAAAACATGGAAAGCCATTCTTTTACCATTATCTAATACTTTGTCCAAGAATAATAGTTTTACTAGTACTTCTTCACAAAAGAGTATTTTAAGCAAAAGAAATTCTGAATGTGAGGAATCATCATTTTCAACACCAGAATTGACCCCAAAATTATCAAAACACAAAACTGCTACAAAATTTTCATTGTCTACTTCTCTACCTTCAACAAATGTTTCTACCAATCAAAGTACAAAACTTTTAACTGATGTCTCAACATCTGAAGAAGAGTACTCACAAAAAATAGATTCTGGAATATCTTTAACAGAGTGCATAGAAGACAAAAATTCATCTTTCAGTTCTAAAACAGTTCAGAATAATTCAACTCCTCTTACTGATTTTTCTGAAACAGTGGACCAATCTAATGTGAACATGTCTAGTAAAGATGATTTGGTTCAGACTGAACCATCTATAGAAGAAAATATTTCAGCTGTAGAAAATCACAGTATTTTATTATTAGAAAATAATGATTCTAATAAATATAGGTATGAAGCAGAATTTCCTAGAGAAGTATGGCCATCCACCATGATGGACGATTCTTGTTCCTCAATGCATGTATACGAAACAATGCATGGCAGCTTTTCTTGGATCTGGATTAGCTGTAGTGGATGCATGGTTGATCCTCAGGCCCTTCCACAATGGTTTACATCTGGTAAGTAAAGCTCCTAGTCGTATTTGAATGTAGAATTCTGTTTCTAAGGGCATCTTTATATAGTTAACAATAGACAAAATTAAATTTACTGAAATTTTGTCTGTCATTTAGTAATAAATTTTTGTGTCTAATCAAATTATTTGGTTGCATTTTTTTTTATACTAAATTCTCTCTTCCAACTTAAGTTTCCAATGCATTTTCTTTTTACAAAGTATAAACATCTTGATTGAAATTTCTAAAATTTATATCCATTTATTTTATTTAGTATAATATCAGATTTTTTATTTTCTATCCTTTAATAGGTATGGTAAAATTATCCAACCAAAAGTTTTGCATATTGTTCGAGACTGCATACTGTAATATCAAAACACTTACTAAAACACCTTTTCTTGCAGCCAAAGTTTATAAAAAAAATATTCAAAAAACGTGTTAGCTGTACTAAGCGTTCGATTTACAATTTGTTGNACTTTCGAATCAATTGTTAAATTGTCTGGTAAAAGCTCCAAAAAAAATTTCCTTAAAATCCCACCAAAGAGAGCATCTCTCTTTAAGAACATGTGGAACCCATATATTGAGCTTTCAAACGAAACCAATTTGTTTCAAGTAATCATAAACAGTTCAATTTAACAAATGTAATCTCTTAGTGATTTCACATGTTGTTATTTGGCAGTTTGCTTCAATCAGTGCCTTTATTTTGTTTTCATTGGCTTCAACTGGCCATCCAGAACTTGGTGCATCTTCGATATTGAAATTGCCAGAACGAAATTTTGTAAACCAGTTTTGGCACTGTCATTCCGTCAATACATCTCTATACACGTCACACAATTTTTTTTTTCACTTGAACGGCATTCTTACCTTTTCGGTAATAAAAGAGCAAAATATGCCAAAAAGGCTGCTTTCGATCTTTCATATTTGATGGGACACAAAAAATAAACAGTTCCACAAAATCAAACAAAATTTTTTACAAATAAGCCTTAAAATGCTAGCTGTCAAAATATATAATGATATGGTTTTGAATGAAAATGGTGGGAAAAATACGACTAATCCATCTAGTGGTAAAAAAAATGAAATTATTTTCCAAACAACCTAATATATATTATCCAGCAGGACTATATTAATAAGCCATTTCATATTTTTAGAGAAATTATTAAATTTCTTTCTGATTTTTGATTTTGACTATTAAAAGTTTTGCATCATTTATTAAATGATCTCACATGTATTTGTTTAGTTTAATTTAAAACTATAGTACTTCATATGTATGACTAAATCATTAATACTGTATGTAATTGATAATGATAATTGTCTTTTTAAAAATACATGAAGATAGAAAATGTCTTCACAAATCCATCATTCACAATCACCAGTGACTAACAATTCTCATCTAAAAACAAAAATTATTTGTTTTTGTTAATTACAGCAGTCATCAGAGGACGTTTATGCCTATGCAAAAATGCAAATTGGTTGAGTCTCCAGTGGATGATGGATTTGTGAAGGCATTTTGTATCTTCCATGTATTTTTATATTTTGAAAATGTAAAAAAATATACTCATTTAAACTATCATTTTAGGTAATGTTTGGAAAAAAGTAGATTGTCCAAATGAAAAGCATCCTTTATTACAGATATCTGTTGGCACTAATACTGTCTGGGCAGTTTCAAGAAGTGGTGAGGTGTGTAACTTTTTAATTTCTTTTAATTGAAAACTGATTTTTAATATTTTAAACCTATTTTTAAATAAATTTGTAAATTACATTACACACTAACCAAATACTGCCCTGTTGCAATGGGTTACTTTGATTTCTAATATGAGTTACTGTATATTATCAATTTTTCAGTGTAGGTAATGAAACTAGTAATAAAATCAGTTTGTACTTTTAAAATAATCTGTAACATTTTATTTAATCTCAATAAGTTACATAATGTATTAAAAGTACAGAAAAATGATAGAAAGTTAAAATTATTATTATATCAATAGCAATGATTTCAATGTTGATTTTTTAAAGACAAAAACCACACCAAAATCTTATTCTATCAATATTTCTAAATTTCTGTTTTGATGTAGAAAATTTACACACATTATGCCAGAACATAAGATACACGTCAAGACTTTATGCTGGCCATAACTATAACTTAGAAATACTCTTCAAGATTGACTGACTATGCTGCTTTTTGGTCACAAAACTGAAGTCTGACATTTTGCTACAATTGTTAACATATTTTAATGTAGCATTCAAACTACATTATTGTTTGAATATTGTAGCTGTAACTTACACATTATCTTAGTCACAAACATTTTATTTTTACAGTTTTATAACACATTTTCAATTAGTTTTTACTATTCTTCATATACATTGAAATATACCAAAACCATTTTTCATAAATAACATAATTATGTTAGATAATAAATAACTTTTGAAACATACTAATGATTATTAAATGCAGATGTTAGGTACCATCTCTTATTAAATTTAATAATTTATAAATAATTTTAGAATATTCTGGAAGAAAAGAATTGGCTTGGAGTAGGACTTGAACGCTCAACATACTTGTCCAATAATCTCCTACTTACAGTACTGACTGGAGATGCCTTCAGTGGCTGAGTGCTATAAGTTATTTAACTATGATATAACCATCCTTGATATGTCTAAAAGGGAAGGTTGATCTGAAGGCTTGGGTAGTGTAACTGTCAATGCATCCACACAGTAAGAGGGAGTTGTGGTTTCAAGTCCTGCTCTGGGCTGATTCTTCCAGAATATTCTAAATTATTTGCAAATAATTTAGTAAGATATGGTTCCTAATGCCTGTCTCTAGTGACAAATTATTTAGAAATTAATTTAAAATAATAGCAGAGAAGTAGCCCAATTTAATCAGGCAATTGTTTGGGATATTTGTTTGTAATCTGCTTATTTCCAGTTTCTTAAACTTTTTTAATTGTAAGATAATTTAAGATGTATGACAAAAACTTGCTTGCTAAAAAAATTTGATGATATCTTGTCATTTATTTCTCTATCAACTTGTAGTTAATTGATAAAAAAAATTTTTTTTGTGTTATGTTTTTAAAGTTTGACTTATTACAACAATTTTAGATATGGTTTCGTAAAGGTATAAAGGGTCAACAAGCTGGAGTAGATGATGATTATGCAATTGGTAGTGGATGGGTAAAGATGGTTGGAGAAATGAGTAGCATTTCTGTTGGTGCTAATGATCAGGTAAATTATTTATTATTTGTTAAATCAACTTTAATAAATTTTTTATCCATTTTTCTTTTCTATTCATTATCTAAATTCTTTTTACTTTAGTCATTTTAAGTTCACTGTTAAAATATAATCATTGACAAAACATTTCTCACCCAGGTAAAATTGTCCATTACTAAAATTTGACATACAGCTTTATCTCAGACTAGCAGACCCCGCCACGCGTTGTTGTGGCTCAAAATGTATCTATTATAAATGTATAACACTTCCCCCGAGGAGGGGAAATTTTTCGAAAAATTTCTTCTTAGTGTACATTCTGTTGACGTACCCTATTAAAACGCAATCAAAAACGCAAAAAACCGCATCTAAAATAGTATAAATAGAAGATAAATAGAGTTCTTTATGGTAAGCCTTAATCCTAACCATCTCCCTTCAGTGGGAGGAATTTCGACACGTATATTATATAAAAACACGTGCGTATTCGAATGCAGCGTTGTGTCAAAATTTCAAAGGAATCGGTAGGAACAAACGAACATTACATTTTTATTTATATAGATAGATAGA